AGATTATAGGGGGGGAGAAGATTACAGGGAGGGAGGGGGAGTGGAGAAGGTTACAGGGAGGGGGGAGAAGAAGAGAAGATTACAGGGGAGAAGAAGAGGAGAACACGGGGAGGGGGGAATAAGAGGAGAACATAGGGGAGGGAGAGACCACTAAAGGAGGGAGGGGGCGGTGGAGAGACCGTTAAAGGAGGGGGGTGGAGGATAGACCACTAGGGGAGGGTGGGGGGAGAGGAGTGACCACTAATGGAAAGTCGGGGAGAAAAGGAGACCACTAAGGGAGGTGGGGGGGAGAGGAGAGACCACTAAGGGGCGGGGGAGATCTCTAAGGGAGAGCTCTATAGGACAGGGGGCAGGACAGGGAGCTCTTTCACACCACGCGCACACACACACACACACAATGCATCCCTATACACACAGAAACACAACATGCTTCCCTTACACACAGATAAACACACAATGCAACCCTTAGACAAAGACAATGCATCCTTTGCACACATACACAGAAACACACAATGCATCCCTTACACACATATGCAAACACACACTGCTTCTCTTACACACACACACAGAAACACAATGCATCTCTTACACACACTCAACGCACCCCTTACAGACAAACACACAATACATCCCGTATACACAAACACTCACTGCTTTCTATCCCTTACACACAAACTAACTGCATCACCTACACAAACTGGTATCCCTATACACTACATTCCATAAGGACACACATTAGATCCTCTACAGTAACACATAACACATCCCCTACACACTCTACTCCCTGTGAGCGGACTCATGTAGGTGGACTTATGGGTGGGCTTTATGGGGATACTCCCCGTCAGGCCCTGGGGCCCAGACCTTGAGCTATGTAAGAGGCCCCACAAAATTGAGCTGCTTCCCGTTCTCCCAGAACATTGAATTTTGTGACCACAGTTACAAACAGCCTCCAGAGATCCTGTTCTACACCAGACCAGTGGAACCAGACTGCAGCCACAGCCCATCATCATCCTCATCTGATTGTAAGTAGGCAATCTAGTATATTATTAGTGACACTAATCTCTAATTTACCTCACAATAAATGGACACTATAGTCCCCAGAACCACTGCAGCTTAATAAAGTTGTTCTGGTTTCTATAGTTTGTCCCTGCAGGCTTTTTAATGTAAACACACACTGTGTGCAGCACTGGCACTAGTTCATATGGCAGATCATATGGGTGGGGCATTGCAAGGCCCCGGCGGGGGGGCGGGGGGGGGCGGCAAATCTTTCTTTTGCCTAGGGCGGCAAAAATCCTTGCTGCAGACATGATTTAACCTTCATCTTCCAGTGATTGAGAATCGTGGACCGTCCAGGGAAAGAGACCATTATATTATTAAGATTCTGCCTTCCTAATGCCATACAGCCTTTCTTTACATGTGATTGAACTTTCTCCTTCTTGTATACCACAGTGTGACTTTTCTTAACCAGTTTCCAAATTTGACTTTTATATGTTTTCCACTATACATATAAAGTCTAAAATGCATATTAACTTTGAAGAAATAAAGTATTTTGCTGACACCTTAACATGTAATTTGTGTTACTTAGCCACAAATAATACCAGCACTTGCTGCGTCCCATTGTAGGTTTCTCAGAAACTGCAATATTTAACATTGCAGGATTAAGGGGACATTGGCACTGCACCCAAACCATTTAAACGAGATGACGTGGGCTTGGTGCCTATTGTGTCCCTTTTAAGAGCAACTTCTCACTATGCTTATTGCTATCTTTTGAAAGTCAGCACATTTGTAAGCAAAACTATGCATAGGCACAGTGACAAGAGGACCTATATGCACCATAAATTATCATATGTTGTTACAAAGCCATATTTCCTAACAGTCCTGGATTGTTTGGTAGAGTCCTAGTTTGGGTTTGCTCTCCACTGTCCCACAATAATTAACAGGTTAACGTTATTACAGACAAATTACAGTAGATTTACAAATTAAGAGTTTTAATCTTTTTAAAAGTGGCAATATAAAAAAGTCAAACAATATTTAATTTATAATTTAACAAAATTGAAAAAGTATGTTGTCCATTATTTACATAATAATTGCACATGTGGCCTAATATCAGATATTGTTATTGTCACTCCCTCTTACTCTGTCATCCCCCTGTCACCCCCCCCACACCCTGTCACCCCTACCTTACTGTCACCTCATCACCCCTTGTCACCCCCCTCTTACGGTCACCTCACCATCACCCCCTCACTCTGTCACCCTCCTCACACTATGTCACCCACCCTCACTCTGTCACCCATATTCTCACATTACGTCACCCCCCCTCTTACTCTGTCATTCCCCTCTCACCTCATCACCCTTCCTCTCACACTATGTCACCCTCCCCACAAGGCCACCATTCCCCGTACACACGAGCACCACTCTGGCACCTCCCTCCATACACCCTGTCAACCCTCAACACGCTGGCACCCTTCTGCTCTTTTACACTCACCCTGCCACAGTTACCCCTTTACTCACCCTGTCACCCCCCAAAGGCAATCATTATACACACCGTCATAAAACATAGCTTTGCCATAAACTCAGTGTCAAAGGCCAGTCAGTACACAAACATACACATGCTCAGAGAAACATACATACAGATACAAGGATACTCACTGTCAGACACACACTCAGGTAGATAATGCAACGATGTATACAGAGACTAGCTCTGTGTATCCAGTGCTGCAAGCTCCCCCATCAATATATCTACAGCTTCTTATACACAAAGTCAACTGCTATTTTTTCTTCAATAATGGTGTTCTCCGTGGGGTCTCATGTATGAGTTTCGCCTAAGGCCTCGCCAAGTCTAGAGCCGACACTGCAGTACAGCCCTTCAGTATCCAATAGTCTCTTATACAGGGACTCCTCAAAGCGGTTTGCTCCTTCCCTCTGGAACTGTAAAATTAAAAAATATAGTTACAACTCACCAATTCGTAACCAGAAAGCATATTACTTATTTTATATTATTACAAACGACAATTTCAATGTTGGAGATTGGAGGCGTAGAATAAAAAGAATGATCGAGCGCTTTCAATTTTGAATAAAAGCAGTGTATAGGACAGTGATGGCGAACCTTTTTGAGCCCGAGTGCCCAAACCGCAATACATGCCAACTTTTTTTCCCTCAAAGTGCCAACATGGCAATTAAACCTGAATACTGAGGTTTACGTTTAGAAAAAACTACTTGTACAGTTAACAACTTTTGTTTTAAAAGAACACAACAGAGAGTTAAATTATAACATTTTTTTAAATAATGATATAAATTAAGCTTATATTAGTATCTCCAACAAATGCAGTACATACACACAGACTGCTGAACACATTCACACACCAACTGCTTAATACATACACACACCGAGACACAGACAGACTGCTAAATATACACACAGTCCGCTAAATACACGCACACTCCTGAGTACGCAGTCTGCTGAATACACGCACGCAGTCTGCTGAATACACACACACACACTGCTGAATACATAAAGACTGCTGAACACACACACATATACTGCATTGAGGGGTGCAGTGTATGTGTCTGTGTGTAATGTTGTGTGTGGGTGGTGGGGTGTTGTGTGTGGGGGGTTGGGGTGCTGTGTGTGGGGGGGTTGGGGTGCTGTGTGTGTTTGGGGAAAGGGTGCTGTGTGTGTGGGTGCTGTGTTTTAGAGTGTTGTGTGTGTGGGGGGTAGGCGCTGTGTGTGTAATGGGGTAGGGGTGGGGTAGGGGTGTGCTAGGGGGTAGCTGTGGGTAAGGAGGGTAGGGGTGCTGGGGGTAGGGGGAGTAGGGGTGCTGGAGGTAGGGGTGATGTGGGTAAGAGGGGTAGGGGTGCTGTGGGTAAGGGTTCTGTGGGTAGGGATGCTGTGGGTAAGGGGGATAGGTTATTAAATCAGTACCCCCCCTTCTCTTCTTCTAACCTTTGGTGAAGGGGAGGGGGGGACAAAGCCTTCCCTGGTGGTCTGGTGGTGGTATGCAGGACAGGATGACAAGTCCTGCAGCTCTCCTGTCCTCCCGCGCGATGCTGTGTGGAGCGTTGCCATGGTAACGCGGGGCAACGATCCACACAGCTCGCGGGAGGACAGGAGAGCTGTTTCCTCGATCCCTCCTCCCTGCTTCCGGTCCTGCCGACACGGAAGCAGAGTAGGCGCCTGCCGTTTCGGGCAGGCAGGCGCCTACTCTGCAGTGATGGCAAACCTATGGCCGCGTGCCCACAGAGAGGGCCCGGCGTGCCACCTGTGGCACGCGTGCCATAGGTTCGCCATCACTGGTATAGGAGATACGGTCACAGTATAAGCAGTGTATAGGAGATACGGTCGCAGTGTTTAGGCGATAGGGTCACAGTGTAAGCAGTGTATAGGAGATACGGTCACAGTATGAGCAGTGTTTAGGCTATAGGGTCACAGTGTAAGCCGTGTTTAGGAGATACGGTCACAGTGTAAACAGTGTGTAGGTGATACAGGCGTTTAATTCTCCACAATCACAGTACTTTTGGTTACCTTATAAGTATTACAGTGACTCACATTGGTTGAATTGGCACATGAATACACATGTGAGCAGTAACGCCACGTCAAGGCTTCAACCCTTGTTACTGACCATTCACACACACGCACCATACTTTTCATTCATACGCATTCGGTATTCCAGATGTTTTGGACTACACCTCCCATAATGGTTTGCCAGCATCATGGGAGATGTAATTCACAGCATCTGGACTGCCCAAGGTTACCTACCTCTGAACTAGACAGTGATCACAGTACACAATGTTGAAGTGGCTGTGCAAGCAGGAGCAGCTTGTCATGTGTCAGATGCCACTTCATTACTTATAAATTCAAAATACTCCACCCTGGAGACGAGCATCAAACATGGGCTTCTTCATTCCTCTTCATGTACTTCGTGTCCCCTAGGAGAACATGCTTGTCAGAGCTGTGACACACACAAAAAGAAATAAACTGGTTAGAGTAACTGGCATAACAGACACAGTGCATGCAGACTTGCGTGCCACATACATACAGCAGACAGACACAAAGATTGTGGGAGACACACCGGATTAAATATAAGAATCGGGAGTACCATACATACACTATGCACAAAGAGACGGAGATTATTGAATCCGGTGACCGACGAATTTGGTTGCCGATGTGGGGCAGTCCCTCTCGCTGGGGTGCAGTTTCTCATCCTTCTCTGGCGAGTGACTTGATGGCTGCGGTTTCATAGCAAAAAGCATGCCATGGCATATGATATCTAGGAAATAAATATTTTTCTGTGAAACTGGGGTTGTACACATCTAACACACAGGCCACACGTACTGTACAGCTCCCCATCTAACGCACAGCCCCCAAATCTAATACACTGCCCCCCCACAACTAACACATTGACCCCCACATCTAACACACAGCCCCCCATATACAGCGCAGACCCCCCCATATACTGTGCAGCCCCCCCAATAATGCACAGACCCCCCCATACTGTACAGACCCCCCTCATACTGTACAGACCCCCATACTGTCCAGACCCCCCATACTGTACAGACCCCCCATACTGCCCAGACCCCCCATACTATCCAGACCCCCCCATACTGTACAGACCCCCCTCATACTGTACAGACCCCCATACTGTCCAGACCCCC